CTCGCCTGGTCATAATAGGAGCTGGTCTTAATAGCAGCATCTCAGATCTCACCTGATCCACTGATTCAGACTCTTCGGGGGTAGAGCTCAGTGTTCTGGGTTTGTGAAGCCCTCCAGGAAAGCTCTGCTCTGGGCCACACTGTGACAGAGCTGCCTTGCAAGGTTAAACCACTTGACATTGAGGTTTCAGAGTAAGAGAGATGATGTGGGTTTGAGTGTAGCAAACCAGGGAAGCCCCAGAGCTTAGTGTGGGTTGCAACAGCCTTCCAGATAAGGAGTGAACCTGGTGCCTGCCTGCTCCCTTCCCCATTCTATTCTTCTCTCCCCAGGCACAGGGGTGACTGTGAATGCTCTGCACCCCGGCGTGGCCAGGACAGAGCTGGGAAGACACACTGGCATGCACAGCTCCACCTTCTCCAGTTTCACACTCGGTGAGTACCCTCCCAGCTTGGGGTCCCTTCGCTGAAACCCTCTTACCACTGTCCTATCAGACTGGGGCCCAGGACCCTTCTTCAGAGACTGTCCCTGGCTTTGCTTCTGGCTACCCCCTCTGCTGTGTGTTCTGTGGTATAGAGGTTGAGTCACTTTTCGATATCCGTCTGGCCTGCCAGTCTCAGAACAGCCCCAGGAAACAGGCCAGACCAGGAAGTAGGCCAGACCAGGAAGTAGGCCAGAGGAGAGCCCCAGGAAACAGGCCAGAGAAAACCATGTCTTAGATGGGGAGGCCATGGAGCTGACCCCTGGAGTCAGGCTGTGTTCAGGGTAACTCCAGCTTTATCCCAAATTAATTGTGCCACCTGGGGAAATCTCTTCACCTCTCTGAGTCTCAGTTTCCTTATCTGCAAAGTGAAAGCCAGAATAGGGTCCACCTCACAGTCATTGGGAGGATTAGATGAACCCTCCCTTAAAAGGGCCAGCACAGTGCCTGGCCCAGAGTATAGGCTGAATAAGTAATTAGANATCTTTATTTTTATTTTTTTGACCGATAAGGAGATCACAACCCTCGGCACGGTGTTGTCCTCACCACGCTCAACCAGTGAGCGCACCGGCCATCCCTATATAGGATCTGAACCCACGGCCTCGGCGCTCCCAGCGCCTCACTCTCCCAAGTGAGCCATGGGGCTGGCCCATTACTGGTTATCTTTAAAAAAAAAACCCTTTAATTTCTCTTATGGTTGTCATTTTATGCTGTGGAATCTCTTAAAAGAAAATAAGAGATAGTCAAAAGCTGCTGAATGTCTAAATTTGAAGGCTTTAAATCTTCATCCTGAAGATTTCATATGCTATTTATTTCCATGAATTTTGTTAAAAATGTTAAATTAAAAAACAGACAGCTTTCAAATTATGAGCATGTGCAGTTCCTGGGAAATTCAATGTGTTGAAAAACCAGGTAGTTCACTGAAGATGTTGGTTCAGAGATGAGTTAAACAGAACTTCTAATGTCCGGGGCCATTCCTTTTCTGTTACAGTTTTTCAAGCTTGTATAACAGCTGCCAAAGCATTTCTCTGTTTTTGACCCTGTGAATATTCACCATTGTAGTTTTGATTTTTAATAGGCCATGAATTGAATTTAATTGCCATATGCTTTTCCAAGTGCCAAATTTTTAATTTTTATTAAGTCAAGAAAATACAGTGCTAGAATGATGAGTGTTTTTCAGCCTGCAGTTAATGATGTTTATTTTCCAGAGAGTCCAATGCCATAATAAATGGATATGGAAACTTAAAAAAAAAAAAAGTAGAGCCTTATAACTGGTATTTATAATCCCCAAAAGCATTTAGTGGGTGGGTGCTAGGTATCAAGAATCTTAAGCTGAGGCTGGCATTAGATGCATTAAGTAAGTAAAGGTTATTTTGAGGAAAGATGGGGTAGGGTGAGGACTTGGGGCTGACCAGGAAGGCTTTCTGGGGGAGGCAGCTTTTGGGCTGGTTCCTGCATCTGTAGTGATTTCTCTGGGTGGTGCCAGGGAAGGGAACTCCAGGTGGAGAGAATCAAGGGCAAAGACTTGGAGGTGAGCTCTGTGGGAGTCCAAGGCAACTTCTGGTGTCAGTGGGTTAGGGCTCTGTCAAGGTGGAGCAGGGCTTTTCTCATCCTTCTCCGAATGTGTGTGGACTGAATGCTCTGTGGGTTGCTTGCAGGACCCATCTTCTGGCTGCTGGTTAAGAGCCCCGAGCTGGCAGCCCAGTCCAGCACGTACCTGGCCGTGGCAGAGGAATTGGAGGGTGTTTCAGGAAAGTACTTTGATGGACTCAAAGAGAAGTCTCCAGCCCCAGAGGCTGAAGATGAGGAGGTAGCACACAGGCTTTGGGCTGAAAGTGCCCGCCTGGTGGGCTTGGAGATGTCTCATGGGTTTTCTGTGAGGGAACAGCCCCTCCCCAAATAACTTCTGGAGCAGGTTTGAAAGCCACCTGGGAGGCCACGTTTCCGGAATGAAGGCACAAAACCAACAAATTGTGTCTGCCACGTCCTCATCACCCTCTAGAGGGCAGTGTTGGCACCACGTGAACCTCAAGACCAAGGACTACTGGCTACCAAGTCACCTAGGTGACTGTATTTGCACCATAAAGACCTCAAGACCAAAAACTGCTGGCTGCCACGCTTTCATCACCCTGTAGGGGGCAGTGGTGGCACCATAAGGGCCTCAAGACCACGGAACACTGGCTGCCACACCTTCACCACTCTCTAGGGGTAGTATTGGCACCATGTGATCCTCAAGGCCAAGGACAGCTGGCTGCCACACCCACAGTTCAGTCTATGGGATAGTATGGACCCCTTTGCTCGCTCGCTCTGCTGGCCACAGTGGATTGGATTGCAGGTGCACACCTGACCCATGGGCTGGCAGGTATGATGTGCCCTGTTGCTAACAGGTGAGCTGGGCCATCAGATGCCTCCCTTGGCAATCTAAACTGGGAATGCAGAGGGAGGAGTCAGTTCCCCCTCCTCTCTGAGCCTTGATTTCTCCGACTGTAAAATGCGTGAATGGATGCATACTACCTCATGAACGGTGTGGCAGTCAACCAGCTGTTGCCTGGCTCAGTGAGTGGCAGCTGTACATGCCTTGCCAGTGAATGTTTACTGAGGACTGTTGTGCCAGACACTGGCCGATGTGCTGGGGCTGACACAGACCTGACCTTCTTAGCACCAGTTCATGCTCCGGACAGGCGGGTGAAAACCTCGCCAGCTGCTGCTGCTGCTGAGGACCCAGGATTGCCAGGGATTGGGGCCTTCCCTCCAATTCCTGCAGTAATTTAAATCACAGATCTTCAAACTCACTCTTTAATAATAATAATAATGAAAAAGTCACAAAAAATCTAGCTGAGTCATAGCTTTTATTTCTTCTTCCATGTGTGGAGAAGTGCCAATGAACTGAACAAAGAAAAATTCCTTTTAGGGAACCGTGACATCAATTTATTTAAAAAATATTAAATCCCCTCAAATGTGCTGAATAAGAAGTACAAAATATTAAATATGACAAGATCCCCTCACCAATTCTTTTTAAAATTAGCATATTCATTATTACTTTATGCCCCTTATCCAATCTCTCCCTATCCACCTCCCCCTCTCTCCTCTAATAACCATAGATTTGTTCTCTTTCTGATTAGATTAACTGTTTCTTTGTTGATTTGTTGCCTAGATGATCTATCCAGTGCCGAGAGAGGGGTGTTCAGGTCCCTCACTAATATAGAGCAAATGCTTCTGTTCCTCTGGAATGTGCTTTGTGGAGAGAGATGTCCTTTTTTTTTTTGTCTCCGCTGGTGACTGCTTGTGTCAATGCATTCAAGTGTTTTGCGGGCCACCTACACAGTGGCTGTGACTACTGCTATGGCGAGTAGCTGCTTTTGTGGCAGCTGTGGCAATTGTGATGGCTATGGTGGGCTAACCGTGTGGAAATGGTGTTTTTGGTGTGCTCTTTACCTGGTTGCGGGCGGGTTTGGTGTCCTCTGGCTCTGTCTGTGATATCAGTTTAAATGAGTATTTGCAGGGCAACAAACCAAGCAGAAGTTCAGATTTTAGAGATGAAAGGCTCTTTTCACCCCTTCAAACGGCAACCGTTGCTGAAGTCTGGGTGTCTTAGGAGACTCTGTGTTAGAATCCTGGCCAAGGTTAGGGTGAGGTGAGTGAGGCACTCGGTTTGGCCACAGAATTGAAGGGGGTGCCAGGGAGGGCAATAATCAAGATACGAAAAGCAAAAGTTTTCACATTTGGAGTGTGGGTTGGACCTAGCGACTCGCTGCTATCGAAGGAGAATAGGGCAAAGGTGGATAGTACCTCCGTGATTAGGTTACAAAGGACTGACTTCTTCATTGCTAGCCTTCTCCCTTGTCTTCTCGCTGGCTTGCTCTGACTGAGCCAGCTGCCATGTGGTGAGCTGCCCTGTGGAGAAGCCCACAAGGCACAGATCACAGGGCAGCCTCCAGCCAACAGCCAGAGAGGAACTGAGACCCTCAGGCCAACAACCTGGGAGAAACTGAGTCATGCCAGTAACCATGTGAGTGAGCTTGCTGTATTATATTGGTTAGGAGCAAGTTACTGGTTCAGCCCAAGGACGGGGACTGTTCCCGGACATGAATACCAGGAGGTGGGAATCATAGGGGGCTACCCTAAGAGCCTGTCCACCATAGGGCTGGAGATATATATATATATATATTTATAATGTGTGTATTTGTTACTGTAGGATCATGGAAAAACAAATCTGAGAAATAATTCTACCAGTTGGGTGGGATGGGGATAACCTCAAATCCCCTGGTTCTCTAAAGACATGTATAGGATTCGCCTGGGAACTCTCTTTTTTTAGAAAAAATTAATTGTAAAAAATACATAACACACACACACACACACACACACACACACACACACACACACACA